AGTTCAGCACACTCTCACTCTGTAACTCGTTTATTTAACTTTACATACTGTATAAAGTGTTCTGTATATACACAATATACACGACACAGGTAGTGCAGGTTTTCTTTTACAGGGCTGTCTGGTTACAGTTCACATTTTGCATGATGAATAATCCAGTGTTTAACATTCAGACCTGTTCGGTTCCCTCCCAGGACGTACGACTCCTGCAGGAGCCGCGCTGGACACGAAGCCTTCCTGTTGTGATGTAACAGTCCTGCGTCAGGTGGAGGTATGAGAGCCACGCTGTTTGAGAGCACACACCACCACCCCAACATGCTTTGGAAACACTCGGCGCTGATGACATGTGGCACGCTATTATGCAAATCACCAAAGTTAATATGACCAATTTTCCTGCTTATGAAAGGCAATTTTTGTCACATTTCTCCAAACTGACTCAGGCACTTGCGCTGCATAACACCAGCAGTGTGTTTCCACACATCTCCTGAACGACAGCAGCGTCACTTCACAGGTTTGGGAGTGAAAAAAGGGAGAAAAAATAAACAGAGAAAGGCACTTGAGGGCAGCAGATATGGCAGTGGGGTTCAAGTGGAAACAGCTTTGACGCATTTGAAAATTGAACATAAAAGCCTTCCCACTCTGCGCACCGACATCTGGGCCGTCTCTTCTTGTTTTAACACTGATGCGGCGTGAAGCTAAATACTATCAGAAGGCACGAGATCCGACGCTGAGACATTAGTGAAGATGTGGAGCTTTAAATTTGTGCAGGACGCATGTAAGTGCTGCATTCTGACCACGGACTCAGGCTCAATGATGTCAAACAGCTGCTGCACACTCACGATGTTTCTGTCCGTGCATCGACGGCGTCCTCGCCGCGTCATATCCATCAGAATGTGTGAAAGAGCACCTTCCAGGTCGTCCACCATCAGCTGGCAGCAGGAATTATGAGTCGGTAAAATCCTGGAAGTCACCACAAACCTCTTCACCACTAACTCGGTGAAGCCCGCTCTACCTTTGTGCCTTTTGAGCACCGAATGCTCCGAGTTTTTTCCAGATTGACAAATGGATGTGGAGCTGCAGCAGGTTGTGGTGGTGAAGGTACGTCCTCAACTATGACACCAGAATCCCATCACAGCAGCAGAGCTCTGACGTCTGTGATGACGCGGTTCAGGTCCGTGATGTTTTCTGTGCACGTCCAATCAGGAGGAGACCCCGTGGCAGACCCGGGACACAGCTGAGCTGTTCGGGAACGTCTCATTATCCTCACTTCCTGGAAGAACTGGAGGCAGCAAGGCATCATCAGT